GACCAAATTGTTTATGAGAGAAGCTCTACAGGCTGGGAAAAGGAACAGAGGAAGACGTAACTATGTGAGCACCATGGGTTAAATGAGGATGACCGGACTCTAAAATAAAACTGCATTATCATATTGTAGTCTGCTGCTGGAAAACAACGCTGTCCAAAAGTGAATATTCCAGGTCTGACAGGAAGAAATGACTTTTGGAAGCATCTGCTGGGCATTTGCTAGTATTACCCATGACTTGATCACTTCCAAATTAAGTGATTGTTGTTCACACTTACTGTGCCACATATTGAGACTGTTTCAAAACTGAAAACTCTCCATGGTAACTCACAGCTGCAGCACATCAGCTCCATTTGTTTTTGAACCCATGACACACAGCATCCCATTGCTGACAGCAGATGCAGGTTTTGTCTTTGCACAGAGATCATCAAAAGCAAGTCCTTCCCATCAGAAATAAAGGAGAACTGAGAACATTCTAATGAGGGTTTTTAGTATTAGAAATGGATCCTTCATTTGCAACATCTTTCTTTAAAGAGCACTTTTTCTTTGGCAGTTTGGAGGAGGTATGTTGGTCAGATGTGTGATGGATTCTATATAGAATGAATAAATTTACGCTGTATGCTTTTAAAAAAAAAGCTAAGAAACTGTGAAAATAATCTCAAAATAAAAGAAAACAGGAGAGCAAGAATAATATTTTTGTACATCCAATGTATTTTTTTGGCACCCAGGAAGAGATCCTACTATTTAAAGGATGATGTTCAACTTTATAGATACTTCCTACACACACACTCCAATACAAGCTCCTTTGGATCCACTTTCATCTCCCTTAGAAACGAGCAGACTAAGACTCTCCCTTTCTTTTTGACATCTAGTTGTAATGTGTTGTGCTATTACAAAATAATCTAGGTGTCTAGCTGCCCTCGATGTTAGGTTCTGAGCTGCACTACAGACAAACACAATAATTGAAATAGTCTATATTACTATTGAAAACGACTGGAAAACATAGCAAGGAATCCTAGATAATTTCTCTTTAACTTGATACATTTGGTTCTAATTCTATATAACTACTACTATATAAGTACTAACTACTACTCTAACTGTCGGTAGTTATGATAACTGTCAACAATTGTTTCAATATAGATTAAAGCTTTTACTAATAGAACAAAATGACTACACCATATTTGTTCACCTTTTAAAACCTTCATGCTTTTCAAAATGCAAGACTCTGAGAATAGATCTGTCAACCACTCAGATACTGAGTTTCAAAGTTTTTGCCCAAGTCAGTACCCTTAAATTAAAATTAACAATATTTCAAAATAATTTCCCCCCCGAGGAAATATGATTTTAAGTTTAAAATTACATCTTACAAAATATTAATCCCAACACTTTCTCCAGTAAGTGCCTTATACATTTGTTCAATTTAAAAATGAGTGTATGGCAATAAGACTCAACCACATCCAAGCTGCTAAACCAGAACTGTATGTTCACATAAAATTAGGAAAAATAAGTTCAGAAATTCAGTATTCAGAAGCCTCTCCTAACAGATATTAATTTCAATTTTCTCATTACCATGGAAATCAAAATAAACTGCTGAATCAAAATAAACTGCTTATGCAAAAATTGGTGACCTGCAAATAATCATGGCTTGGAAGAATTCTTAAATGCAATCCATCATCTTCCAAAAAAATACATCTGAACGCAGACACTCCCTTGACCTCAGGCAGATGCAGCAAAGGAGCAATGGAACTTTCACAGACTCTTTATTCTGCTTTACCACTCTTCCTTTATTCTATATGCACGTCTCATAGCTGCATTTTGATACCTGACCTCACTTCCAAAAGGTCTCACCTTCCAAACTTCCACACAGGTTTTAGGACTCCTGCTGTCCGAATGTACGGAAGAGCAAGGTTAGTCATTAATTTGGTTCCTGCATGCAACCACACAAGGCACGCAGCAAGTCATCAGCAAAACAGAAGGCTCTTTTTTATTAATTGACTAAATATCGAAGCAATAAGCCTGCAGGCAGTTCATAGTTTTTCAGTACACATGCTTTTTCTTCTTCTTGCATCTACTTACCGACATAGCTGCATGGTCATTGTTGTTATTCTGAGAAGGAAACCAGTAAGGCAATCAAAACAAAAAATTAAGATGTACTGTCAACATCAAAAAAAAAAAAGAATAAAAAATTGGTAGCAATAAAAGGTAAGGAAAAGCTTCCAAAAATAACAAATGTATCTGTATAATTCCTTTAAAAATACTTTTAAATCTATACACTTATTTAGTATTTCGTCAAGGCAAACCAAAGAAATTATAATTGAAATAACAGCATTTTGGTAATAAAATGTTTTTCTGTGGTAAGGAACTGCATGCCAAAATATCAAAGCAGCAAACTCCATATGAGGAAATACGTTTCAATTTGACTTTCAAGAAAGTTTTCATTATAACAAATACTGTTTTCTAAAATGCTTATGTTAAAAAATAAATGCCTCTTTTACTGTGTTGGCTTACAAAGGCTATATGCATGTTAGTAACGTACCTCATTCAAGCAAGACTTAGCAATGGCTTAGGACAATAAAAATCTAAATGCAATTCCATGCATTAATATCTTCTCGACAAATCTAATGTTAATATAACTGGAGGGTAGAATAAAACTCCTTTATCAAAACTGCTGTTGCAGTATACATACTGCATAGAGAGGAGAGATACATAGAGAGGAGAGAGCTAAGATGTAGGACTCAGGAGAAAAAAAACTTTAGAGACACAAAACGTTTCAAGCGATTCCATGGAGATATGAGAGCCCAACTAACTTGTGCCACAAAGTAAGTAGGTTCAGAAAAATTATGATCTCATAGTCTACCTGATTTAGATTTCTTATGTTTCTATAAAAATAATATAATTACTTGGCAAAATAATATAATATTTGGCATAATACTAATACAATATTTGGCATAAGATATACTTTTTAAAGTTATGTCTACATTGGTACAGAACTACATCATAGTGTAGGCCCACATGAAGCACACATATACAAAGAGATGCATCCTTGGGTGCTTACACAGCTTACACGTACATCTAAAATAAAAGGGGATAAAAACAGGTACTTAACAATCCCAAATAACATATTAAAGAACATATGATAGCATTTCAACAAGACAACTAGCGTTTGACACAATATCAAAGAGGAAGTTAATGATCCTTGCTTGAATGAGACTGTGGAGAACTAGTGGGGCAAACTAGTTGTGACCCTCGCCTTAGAATAACACCCGCCAACATGACTGGATACGCCAAGGTGGGAAGAGAAGACATTTCTCCACCTGTCCTACCTTTCTCCTTACTAAAACTATGGCCTATGGCTAGGACTTTTGCTCTTTGATCTCTCATTACAGACAAGGCTCTAAGAAATTGTTTTGAATAATAGCATGTTTCTGCCAGCTACACAAAAGTTGTTATAGAAATGACATTGTGACTTTCTTATTATTTTAATGAAAATGAACAATAAAACTATTCCAAATCTCAGCTATGGTATGTGATAATCTAGTTTTGCTTAGGGTATCAAAAGCACTAACTAAGTTACTGTGTGATGGAAACTAGTTCTGGGCACGTCTCTGAAAATGCCTTTACAAATCTAACTCAAATCACCATAACGAAACTCTAAATACATTTTCATGTAATTTCCACAACTCATGCAAACAACATTCATAGGACTGTACGTTTCTACAATCAGCCAGGCCAGAATAGCAATATATGGGAGAAGTAAAAAATGCCAAGAACCCTCTTGCCAGACCAGACCAGGAGTCCATGTAGTTCTCTATCCTGCCTGATATCTGGTTAAGACCGAATGCAAGGAAAGGCAAAATCTGAAATTACATAATAATCTCTTCACAGAGGCTGTTCTTAATCAAAAATTGCTCACCTAGCCTGGTATGGAAGCCCATGCCTCACGCTTCGCATTCATATTGATATTATGTGGTATATTGTGAGTGAGCCACGTGTTTGAATAAGTAAAAAAGACGACAAAAATAACAGCCACTTGACATATTATTCAGAATACTAGACAACAACTAAGCCAACAACTTCGATAACTTGTTCCTATATAAAGACCTTTTTCTGAAACATACACATTTCATCAAACAAATTCTTAAACTGTATAGCTGTGCTGTAATGTAGCACATGAAGAAATTATCTTTGCTTTCCAGTCTGAAGCCTCAAAACATTCTGCATGTTGAGAACTTATTCTCGAGAGGTGTTGCATGTTGGTACAGTGATCAGACATTAGCGCGACAGTAGCAACAGAGGACAAGCTAGCAAAAAGCAGACGTAGCTTCAATGACTTATTGAAGTTACTCCAGCTCTATGAAAGTATAAACTGTTATGATGACATCTTAAACTAGATGTTATATTTTTGTCTTAAAGCAGGGGGAAATCAGACAACAGAATGCAACAATTAGTACATAAAGCAGTTTAACAACACCCTTTCACCTGGGACAAAATAACAAAAGCTATATATGAACATGAATGAGGATTCATTTCAATGAAACTCAGTTAGCTAGAAGCAAATGGCTTCTTATAATCAAAACTATTTAACTGAAGACAAACTTGAAGAATTTGAGCCCTCCAGGATCTCATGCACGAATCGTGAGCTTGCATTCAATTCTGTATTCTTTGAATCAATGAATACGTATACAGAAGTAACAGGAGCAATTAAAAAGGCCACCTGAGGACTTAGCCTGCTCTAGAAAACTGCCTGAGTTCTTATTATTTGTAATTTAGCTGTTGTTAACAATATTACCAAAGTATTTGAAAGGATTTTTCAAAATACTGTCATGGGTATGCATCATCAATATTATATACTGAAAAATACATCTGCCAAAAGGTACACAAAATCAAACATCATACCTTTCTTCTAATATGCTAACTTGATAGCTATTTCAATTAAAAATCTTAATACTTTAAAATGAAATAATACTCTAATAGCTTGAAATTAAACAATTTTGACCACTTACAGGCAAATGAGTAAACACTTGAAATGTGCTTCTTAAAAAGTTAATAAGGTCCATTAAGTATCCACTGGCTCTTCCATCTGATTCAGACATTGTCCAGTCATAGTCAGCAATCTGAATAAATTCATCTATTTTTTGGTTAAGTTTTGTGTATATTTCTCCTTCTGCACCATGCCTTGCATCCTGAAAAAAAAAAGCGCACAATTGTCACAATTCTAAAATGTTTGTAGAAGGCAGAATAATTATGTTTATCAATGATGCTGAAGTCATGTGTTTTGCTTAGCGTCAAAAAATACCTATTTTCAAATTTATATTTCAACTTGTCTTGAAGCAATAAGTCTGAGCTTGTGGTTTTTAAAATACGCCTGTAAAGTATACTATAAAAGCATTTGTAACAAAGCCTACCTACAGAGCAACCTAAGTTCACAGAGATAAATGAAAGGCAACTGAATTCGTAAGCAAAGGAACTGCCTTACTCTCCTTCACAGCAGTCACCTTTGATTCAGCCTTGCAAATGCATCAACCCCGAAACAAAGTTCATTTGAACTCTTTTACACAGAAAATTAATAACAAAAAAAACCACCCCATAATTATTTTATTCGTTATGGCTGGAAGTTCAGGATTTTTGCGTAATTAATGTCTTAAAGTTGCACATCTGAAGAATATTAATGTCTTTGCATCCTCCCTTAAATATGCTGATCATACGTCACTGTGATTCGGAGCACTCCCCTACCTCCCACTCATCCCTCGTTTTCTTCTGCCACCACCTAGAGTCTGTTCTGCAGGAACAGTAGACATGGAAATGACCTGATCAGAGGCAAAGGATAGCATTTACTGTGAAGAGAGTTTATTATGTTATCTGCCTCGTTTATTTAGGAAAGATCCTCGCAGATATAGTGGGATGTACCCGGAGATGCTTGATGAAGTATATCTTGTCGGGAAAGGCGTGCTTTTGCCAGCCTGGAATTTAATGATGTCTGACAAATCTCTGTTCTAAGCCCGTGTCAAGGTAAAACTTTCTTCGCTCATCTTGAGAAAGAGTTCAAGACAGAGGTATAATTTAAAATGGGTTGCTCAGATGCTGAAGGTTTCTAGAGAGAAGAAATCAGCTGCGTATATTAGAACAACATAAAAGCAGATAAAATTCCCATCTCTAGCTTCCTCTGGGTGAAAGCAGTCCAAAATCATGGCAGTTCAGGCAATATGGAAATACAAAAGATAAAAGTAAAAATCAAAAGGAACTAAGCCTAAAGGTGGCATCAAATTGTGTGCGTCAAATTCAATTTTCAGCCAGGTCTCAGTCTGTGAGGCACCTGAGAAACAAATGAGCAAGCCTACAGGCCTGCTGTGTAAAAATGCCAGAGGAGATTTCCCTAAAAATTTTTACTGCCAAACCAACTTGTAAAAGCTTCTAATAAACAACTCTCCTAATTTGACACATAAGACTCTAACAACCTGTTAAGATATCAAATAAAGGAATATGCTGACATTTACAATTTCGGAGATGGCTATGACTATAAAAGCTTCAGCCAGGGATAAGTCTTTATTTAACTTCACAATTAACGATAAGACCGAGGTTTCCACAATCTGCACTGAGGAGGCCTGCAAATATACCTTGCTTAGCCTTAGTGTGACTGCTTGTTTATTAAAAAAAAAAAAAAAAAAAAAAAAAGGCATTTCTGGAGGTTGCAACATTTCATCAGCTAACTGTTTCTAGTAACTGGCAATGACAAGAGTAGTCCCTCAGTTTTTGTTTCTGGAAGCCTGTTTTTGGCTATATTTTATTTTGCTTTGGTTGTTGTGTTACAACAGGAGCAGCGTGCTGCCAATACTATAAGCCAGGAGTGTTGTACTTTTCCCTGAGGAAACCGTTGAACAGACTAGAAATCGGACTTCAAACCCAAAAGTTACTTTTGAGAAGCAGCATCGTGAATCTCATGCACAAATCAGGAAAGGGTGAAGTAGCCCTTCCCATTTAGATTTGGGATGACTCTCAGAGGCAGAGAACTTACTCCATCTCTTAACTCGGTGACAGAATCGTATCAAGAAACTTTCGAAAGCTTACCAGACTTTCCCCCTGAATAGGGGAAATGAGGCTGTTTTGTTAAATAGATTCTGTCTCAGAGAAAGAGTACGTTTGGAAATAGTCATTCTATTCCCATGGGCACCAGACCTAGCTCCGCACAGGATGCCACACTGTGTGTTCGACTCTTCAACAGCCATTATGCAGCTTAATGCCGAGACACTGATTTCAAAAACTTCTACCAACTAGACCTGCAGAAACATCTGTTCATGCTTAGTGTGACTGCTAATTGAAAAAAACAAATGAAAAAATGGTATCCACATCTTCAGCCATCCAAAGCCAGAAAATGTGACTATACTATTGAAAGCTACACAATTTTTGTATGACAAAATGATGACACTGTTTGTTGTTTTGGCTTTTGTTTTAACCTTCACCCACGTGAAACAATACTCAATATTTGAATGACATCTTAAGACGAGACCTTATGTACAATAATAAAATTGGAGAAACAGCCCTCTAAAAAGGTAGCCATGAAATAAGTCTGAAGGCTTCTATTAAAAGTACAGTGTAGATGTATTTATAAGATCATTTCATAGAATGTAAATGGGATCAGCACTGCTAATAAAAAGAGATTTTTGACCACTCAAAAAGAATGAAGGTGACATGATTTGCCATCAGGCGATGTATTTAATAACAGGAGAACATACCAAACTCTGCGAGGGCCCTGTTGAGGAACTGCATGCAATTTTTCATTAACACAAAGAAAAAAAGAGGGATTAATGAGAAAAGGATTTTTTTTTCCACTACAAGTGGAGCGTATTGTGCTAACATTCAGTTCTCCAGGGAGAGAGAAAGGAGAGATATGGATATGGAGAGAAACCATAAAATTCTTATGCATTTGTCACTGTTCATTCTGTATTTTCCAAAGCTGCTCTATACCACAGTATGAGCACCTACCTCGTTAGATAAGATACAGCTGTATGAATAAACCTTTATAAATAAGATGTCACATTTTTACTACTTGATACTTTTACTACTTGATAAATCAAAGACAGACATAAAGTTACTGCATACATGAAACCTCAGTAACCATTTTAATTAAGATTATTAGTAAATTGGCACATAGCCTTGCACAGATTTTAAAAAAAGATGAAGAAGTGATAAGGCATGGGTAAAGAAAAACAAATTATCGACGTCTTCTTTATGCTGTGATAGCAGACAAAAAGCCAAAACAAAACTTCAAATGAAATACAATGGCTTCATCCACAAGAAAGCTAAAACCAAACAAAATAGAAACCAATCCCAGCTGATGTTAACACATCTATCCTGCTTCTTAAGTTCACTCAGAAGACTTCCAGAACAGAAACTAGAGGATATACTGCTGTAATACTGGAAGACAAAACTTGAAGAATTTATAGGATATTTAAACATAGCATATAGCATGAGAAATAAGCACAAGATGTAATGCAAATTTTAAACCGCATTTATCAGATGAAATTGAAGGACAAAGTAGCTTCTCCTGCTTCATGAAATCAAAACTACAGCTGCATTCAGTGTTTTGTTTCGAATGTTAAAGAGTAGGGACTAGCCTAACAAGAAAATATCTACAGACATACCCATTCAAACGAACACATGCTCTACTGGCACACAACAAGCAAATTAGGCAGTGGAAATCTTAAGGACAAGGCCAAATGAGTAAAACTACGCTGCTAGGGCAATAGCAGCCTAACTACGGTCCCTACACCAGAACCTGTCTGTCTCGCCTTCTTCATTAAATCCTTAGCAAAACAAATGACAGTTAATGGGAAAATTGTTGGCAATCAACTGGAAAATATAAAGTGTATTGCAACAATGTCTCATTCTACCTCACCCACCTTTGAAAATCCATGCCAGAGGGGATATTATTAATAGGATAGGCTACGTCTTGTATCAAGGGAAAAAATGAAGTACAGAAAACAGAACTATTCTCAACAGGATTAGTCTTCCTTATCCCATAAATGCAAGAAATCATCCTCCTTTGTTTCAGTGTACACTGAAAAAACTTCAAATACCTAAAGTTCAAGTTGCAACTGCTCTGGAATGGTATATGTTTTTTTTTTTTTTTATTTGCTTCTCTTCCAAAAATTTCTATCTAGAAGCCCTAACTGATTGAGAAGGCAAGCACTGGCTGAATTACCTGCACAAGGTGACCTACACAAGATTATTCTTCCGTTGTCATTCCAGAAAATTTATTGCTAGTTTTAACTAGGAAACATGCACATAAGCATTGATGGATGTTATTTGGTTTTATATGGCATTATAGCTCATATGAAACATGCTCCTCTGTGCAGCACTTGTGAGACCACATCTGGAGTACCTTGTCCAGTATGGGCTCCCCAGCACAAGGAAAGGCATTGACCAGCAGGAGCAAGGGCAAGGGAGCACAGCCAAAATGGTGAGAGGGCTGGAGCATACAACGTGTGAGCAGAGACTGGAAGGACTGGGACTGCTCAGCCTGAAGAACAGAAAGCAAAAGGGGTGACCTAATTGCTGCCCTCAACTTCCTAACGGGCAGGCGTAGAGAAGATGAAACCTGAGGGGGGGGCAACAAAAGGGAAGAGGCAACAGTCACAAGTTGCAGCAAGGGAGGCTCCCATTAGATACAGTCTAGGCTTTTAGTTTGGACACTGCTTTGTCATGTACTTAGATTTCTCCACTTGAATGTTATTCCCATCTTGCCTGTAATTCCATGTGGAGCCAAAATATTACCCGTAAAAATTGTTATATAAGTAGTGATATTTGAATTGACAACTGGTTTGTGGAATAGAAATAACAATTGATAAGGATTACTCTATATATTGCTTTGAAGCTAGGCAGAAATTTCAGTTTTCTTCTTAAAATTTTATGGTAGCTTTTATAAAGTTCTAGAGAAGATCATTGCCATTTGGGAAACTCTGAGTAACAGAATTCTGTATACGTGATTAACTTCAAAGTATTTTCATTTTGATTACTGCACAATAGTTCCTCTTATACAATAATTACATACTAACAGCAATCAAAAAACAAATACATTGCAACAAGAATATATGATGAAGTTACAGAAGTGGGGTAGCCTAAGATGGAATAAATATAAATGTTATGTTTGACATAAACAGAATTCTACTAAGGAGCTCAAACATCTCAAATATGAGTCAACTGATATGTAAATCACTCAGACTGTATCTGTGTATAACGGGATTACTGTTCAGACATCCAAAGCATGACATTTTAATTTATATCATCAAATAATTATCAAGGAAAGAAATTACTTAAACGACAAACATGTCAGGATATGACTAGATAAACACATCATGAATATAGGTTCACTTAACTTCCACACACTTTACAAAAATTGTGTTCAGTATAGAAATCATGATCAATACAGAAACGATCAGTACAGAAGTCATGTCCTATACATTTTAAAATATATAGGACAAACTGCAAGGCCACTGGGCTGATAAAACAAAACACTCTTGTTCAATTTTTCTACACAAATTATTATTTATGACCCTTCCAGCCCATAGCAATAGGTGTGACAAAGTTTATGGGGAGACATAAAACCTTTCGTAAGACCAACAGATGTAACTGGGGAAAAGAGACGAGGTTTCAGTCCTAGAAATCCTTCTCCAAGCCGCGTTTGATGTTTTTAAGCTGCTCCCAAAGGTTGCACAGCTTTGCTTTATTTTTGTGTTTCTCTGCACAGCTACAAAAAGCACTAGCATCTACACCTTCATGCAAAATTTTTTTCCACAGAAAAAAAATCCCAAATCACACCCACTTTCTTCCAATGTAAAGCAAAAATGCTACTTGGCTGGAGTAGGTCAGTGAAGTAATTTCTGCCTTATTTGCTGTAGATGCAAGACCAGGTGCTGAGATGCACCCAGCTCGGGACCTACCCGGTGCTCAAACACCGCGCCAGCCCGAGGAGCCTGAAACCCCCTCTCCCCCCTCAGAGGGCTCCGGCCACAGCGCAGCCCAAGGCTTTGCCCTCTGGCGTGGGGCTGTCACAACAGCCTGAGCCCAGATGATCGTTGCACCCAGCTACCTAGTTCAATAGAGTGGGTTGGTTTGTTTGTTTGTTTTAAAGCTTATTATGGTCACCATGATGTAACACAGCCTGAGTAAGGATCAGAATTTTGACTATACAAGTCAACATATTTGCTTCAGTTCCCCCCTTTTCCAAATCCTTCAGAAATTTTGTACAGATAAATGCAGTAACAACTAGGAGGAATTCACCTACTAACATGATGAAGAGCCATATATAAAAACAAACTAGAACATCTTTTATTTTGGGCTTCTTTTATACTTGGCTTTGTAAACGTTGTCAAACTCGCTGCTGAAATTAAAATTTTCTATGCTGAGTATGCATTATCCCTTTTTCTTGAGGTTTAAGCCTAAACACTCCCACCATTTCTGAAGAATATGCTAAGAAAAACGCAGTTTGTCTAGATAAGCAGGTGCCATACATTAGAAACAGTCAAGTTCCCAGCAGCCATTTGTTAAAGTGGAGACGGAATACTATTCTAGTGTCCTGGACACGTCTTTCATCCTTGCAATATAAAATTGACTAATTTGATCACAATTAAAGCCTTGGGGGTGGGGTGGGGAGAAGATGTTCATTCTCTATAGAGATGTGCTACTGTGAACAATGTATGGCACTTTTAAAATCATTTTACAATGGGACTATATTATTATATCCTCACTTCCATACAAAAGAAACTGAGAACTAACAGGTTAAGTGACTTATTTCTGAGTCACCAGCCAGTGGCAAACTTGGAAGAGGAATGCAGCTCCTTTCAGCGCCAGTCCACCGCTCTCTCTCAGATGCTTGTGTCGCTTGCGAGAACGATTTGAAATGCTTGATTTGAACTCAAAAAGATGAAGAACTTTTGAGGCGCATCAACACGAACCCGGGAAAGGGGAAAAGAAGGACTAATAAACAGGTAAAAGGGGACAGAAATTAAAACGAGTGAGCAAAAAAGTTAAAGGGACAAGAGGGCAGGGGCAAGAGGGTTTATAACACCCGAGCACACTCCTTTCAACAGCAAACCTGGAATTACCGATTCTCAACACTCCTTTGACGCGAGGGAACAACTTTTAAATCTGGCAGTAGGTGGTTTACATCCAGGATGATAGCCTGCTCCTGTCTTGAACCTGCACACGGACAGCAGGCACAGCCCTGAGCTTCTGCCCCGCTCTCACACTAGTGTTTATACAACCCCCCGTAATGAGAAAACAGCTTTCTCCTACTTTTTTTAAGCGAGTCTTGGGAATTGTTCACAAGAAAAATATGTACAAAAGGTTGTTGCAAAGTCAAATATTAACATGTTATAAAAACTCCGGACTGAAGGTTGTCTTACTAGATTAAGTTCCTATTCTTGACGTGTATGCATTACGATACGGTTTTCACATTTAGTGAGACACCCTTCATATCATAGCAGGAGAAAGCAACGATGTTTGGGATGAAGTCACCGATGTGACCGTTCCCCGAAACACTGTGTATTTTTCCCTCACGCTTCTGTGCGGATACACTGTAACGAATACATTTAGTGACAACGACGCAAGTGGAAGCATTTCCGAAGAGGCGAGGAGCAGCGCTGCAGTAGCGCGTGCTGCAACCCGAGCTCCACCTACGTTCCCGGACGTATTTTCTATTTTCCCTGTCAGCGGCCGTCACCACAGGCAAGACACCTGACAACTCTGGCACCGTGCGGCATGGTGGTTCTTGTCCAGCTCAACATTTTGGAGATGAGGTTACAGCACACCACGTTTAGAGAGTACAAGTATCATAAAATTGTGGTAACTAAGACCAAGCATACAAAAGGAGCTACAAAGAACAAGGGCCATACAGGGCAAGACGACGACGTCTTGTCAGTCCCCGACCTCCGGGGAGCAGCAGCAGCGAACCGAGAAGGGAAGGCCGCGAACGGCCGACGCTGAGAAGACAAACGCACTTCTCGCGCTTTTGTTTCAGTCTCAGCGCAGAAGGTTTAAAAAGTAAAACTCTGAGCAAGACTAGCACAGGAACAGGCTAGAGAACCAGAGGATTGTAGACTAGCAATGCTGACTTAAATTTCAAAAAAGGTATTGGTATAACTAATGAATCCATTTATACAATCCTAGAAGCTAATGTGATAAGTGTCATCCGACATAAATTTGTTACATTGTAGAAGTGCTGAACACCTGCTTTGCCAAAACCAGAGAAAAAGCAGCTAAAATTGATGAACAGAAAAAGGAAAATATATATTGCACTCAGTTTATTATCTTCCCAGAAACAGCTCCTTTTTTCCTCTTATAAGACAAATATTTGTGCTTCCATATGGCAATCATTTATAGGTTTACTTTCTGAATAGGCAATTCTGCAGATTACAATCTTCTTAACCGTTCAGTCATGTACATACAAGTGATCGACTCTATCAGTTTAGGAAATAAACCCTCTCCCAGTTTCTTCTCCCCACTACTCAGAATAGCTATTACTATTTAATGATAGCAAATATTAAAGCTTCTTTGGTAAATAATAAGTGTATATAACTATTCTTATTTAGTACCATGTATTCCATTTTAATGAGTATTAATTATATATTCATTTACAGAACATGTAAATAAAATACGAACTCTAAAAAGACAATTGTGTAATTTATAGGGTTTTTTGCTTCACTTTGTTAATACCGCTTTTATATTACTAGGTCACTATTTCAAAATATATCACAAAATATTGCTATTGTAGAATAAAAGCAAACAAAAAACATTTTAGATCAAACATTCAGAAACGAAAAACGTTACACAATTTGGAGCTTAGTCTATTAAAAGCTTCTAGGACAGTTAGGCTCAGCTTCTCATTTTGTAACTTAATAAAAGATCGTACCAGGTCTGGAAGGGAAGGCTGATGCGTCTGATGTACTGACACGTTTCAAATCATACTGATAATATGAAAAAGTCTTTATCTGCTCAGCGTTAAAATTTAATTCTCATCAGTTTGGAATTTTTTAGTGTCAAAGTGATAAAATGTGCAGGTTTCCCTTCCTTTTGTTTTTCAAATACTTAATGTACAGTGATTTTCATGTAAATTTTCAGATATGATAATTTAAAGGATGACATACAGCATACCTTAAACGTAGAAAGTCCATAAAGTCTCGCAGTATGAACAGTCACTTGGGAAACACTTGTAATGTTAGTTATAAAATCCTCAAGGTATTTACAGGCTTGTTCTAGGTGTGTTGTGTTTATGATGATTTGAACAAGCTACAAGAGACAAAAAATTCCTGTAAAATGTAGCCTTCTTGTATCATCCACTGCCTTTTGATTATTTTAAAGGGTTACTGCTTTCAGCAGCAGTGTTACTAGAAGTTAAATACAGTATTTCAGGTTGCCACTTAGTAACTGCCAATTTTCAAGTTAGCTTGCTAATACCACCAAGGAGTAAAAGTACAGTTTACATACAAATTGTGACATTTAAAAAATGAAGATTGCAACCACCTACGCAATGAAATAAACCCATTTCATATTTTAGAACTAAAAAAGGGAAAATAAAAGAAAAGATATTATCAAAATGAAATCACTAATTCCATACCATGAAAAAAAATTAAATTAGCACAATTTAAAAAAAAAGGTAACATCACAAAACTGTCTGCAGTGTAAAGCGTTCTGAAGTTAGGAAATTTCAAAAATAAGGTTGCCAACTTTTTTTTAAACAACGGCAATAATCTGCTGCTACATGGTATCAGTCTTTCTACAAGTAGGACTTCCATTCATATTCAGTTCATAAATTATACTACATAGATAACAGACAGTAACTGAAACATCAGTACAGCATTTCTTAAATCATCACTGCACACTGTCCAGCTCCAATACTGTTTTAGTGAAAGCTATTCTAATACTATATAAAATAAGAGGTTTCTCATAAAACATACTGTCTTGATAACTAAATACCTCAAAAATTTTAACGAATTTATTTTCACATCCTTGTAAATATTTCTGTCACCAGTTTTAAAAATGTAAAAAACTGCAGCTCAGAAAAACTGTATGACTTGACTCACTAACATGGCAATGTATGATTTACAGAGATCTTTCCTCATCTTTTTTTTTGATTTCACCTATATAAGAGATTCTTGGAGTTTAAAACCAGCATTCAATATGATCTATCACAACTCTAATTGCTACAGTTTAATTCCTTCTCAGCAGTATCACGCATCATCTTTGTAGGTATCTGCTGACTCCTAACATTGCATGTAACTGCAGGGAACGTTCACAGAGTAATTCACTGTCTCACCCTCTCTTATGCTGTCCAGTAAACACAATGAGCCAAGAGAAACAACATGCACAAATCCACCAAAAATTTTCTATTGTAATTAACAGAGAAAAAGAAGTCGCATGTGTTACAGTGAACTTCAGACTTTAGATTTCTTAATCTGGCAGCTTCATGTGAGGGAGATTTTATTTTTTTTTCCTTTCTTTTTTTTTCTTTTTTTCTTTTTCCTTAAAAGGGGGCAAATAAACTCAATAACGTCCTACTATTTGCTAGACAGGAGCAGAACACACTGAACCATGCACCACATGCAATCTAAGAAATAGGAGATTTGGGCTAATTCCTTACAAGCCCTCATTTGTCATAGAGGAGGCAGAACTCTTTTACTGTCATCTTTCCTTCACTGTGTATCCCTGCATAAATGCACACCCAACTAGATTCAACACTGTAGCGCTATCATTTACTCAACACACTACTCCCAACTATTGCTACTTTTTCCTGCTTCATCTTTCATCTCTTCAAATTCTCAGTTTTGAAGTAAACATTAGTTTTTTCTTACATGAATTTTAATACTACACTATATCTACATTTACAAGACTATAACTAGCACTAATTGTCTTTTAAAAAAAACAAATAATTTTGAGCATGTATTTTAAAACTTACCTCTGTTAAACCTATATGAGGTTTTTTAATTAGGTTCTGTAAACAGCTACTTAGAGTTCTGGTTAGCAGCAAATTTGTAGATTTTCTGAGCATATCGTCTATTTCTGTTGAGCTGAAAAACAATTGCATATTTTTGTAACTATGCTGTATATGACAATATTTTGACTTAATATTTTTGAATTTTTATGCATAGCAAACTTTTCATGTTCAGAATCCCCTACGCACATTTAATTTCTGGCAGCAGTAAGTTTTCTGTGATCTGTGATCACACAAAATAATCTCTTTCACTTATCAAATTCTCCACTAACTCAACTTCAACACTGAAGCAAAATCTGTTAGTTTTAGATTTTGGACATGTTTATTAACACAGCAGTTAGGAAAGACTAACTTGTGCTTTTAATGAGTTACTATGGAGGTCAACATGCACTCATTAGTATGTGTAAATTACAAACAGTATCAATTAAGAATGTGTGAAAGAGAGTCATTTGCATCTTTAACAGTGTGGAAGTGGGTGACCAACACCTCCCAGACTTCAGATCTACAAATGTTATTTTATGTAATTAAAACCAAGCCTTTGAGGAGCATAAGGGAAAAGGAATTGGGATGTTTGCTATTAAAAAAAAGGTGGCAGGGAAGAGGGAATTAGTATGCAACCAGTACATTTTCTGGCAGGACAAATCATTGCTAAGGAAACTCAAAGCACACACAAGGGAAAGCTGGGTTGAACTACTTAGGGATGCTACACAATTATTTCTGAAATAATCAGTATCAAGTTACATTTTTCAAATTTTACATGCTTTGTTAAATGAAAAGCTCTCTAGATTATTCAAAGCAGCCCAGTACTGTTCAAAAGTCTCATCAGTATGTTCACTATGACAAGCTACATATATACACACGCACACGAAATGTGTTACAGCACCAGAAATCATGGATTAAATATAAAGAATTACTCATGGACATTATGAAAAAGCATATCTAGCAAGTATCCAGGACGATGTATTTTCAATTCATTGTATATTTTTACAGCACACGGAAGTTATAGATTACTTTATAATCATACTCTTGACATTTATAGCTTACCTTCGGTGAAGTGACTCTGAAAACTTAAGGCTTGCATAAATAAATTCCTTAACCTGGATATAAATCTGAGGCACTGACTGAGACATTGGGAGTTTCTTTGGAAAGCATTGCTATGAAAACAAAGGATAATACTATGTTACCTTTTAAACTTTGATTCTAAGGAGAGGTTTGCATTAAATACAACAATTCTAATTTATTTTAAGCTTTTCTGTTTTTCATCAAATACAGGCAATGACTTGTTGGGCTGGCTTTACATCTGTTTAAATAGCTTACAAGAAAAACATAACGTTATCATTTATATTAAAATAAAATTCGGGGGCTCCAAGTAATTTAAGACCCCCTTGCAGAAAGCAGTTTACAAACACGCATTAAAAAATAAGTCTCAAATCACTTTCAATCTGAATAGAAAAAATAAAAATAAGCGGGATATGAGGTTCAAAAAACATTTGCAGTTTTTGCCAAAGAAAACAGTAAAGTTCAATATGACTGAGATTTTTCAAAGCATCTTGAGAATTTTTAGATGTGTATATTTACTATCATATATTTACTTCCTATAGACAGGTCACAAAACTAAAGCATGATTTACCTTCTTTTTCACCAGTTTGGATGAACATGTTTTGTAAATGTTAGTCGTCTGTAAGAACGACTCTTATCGTTCTTACGATAGGAATCGTAAGTCATGTCTCTTGACACGATGTCTCTTATTTCATTTTTAAATTTGATATTGTATTGGGGGGGACAAAGAAGATAAAGGAATTCAATGAACTCTACAGACACTAGATAGAGGGTTCTGCATTTAATATATCTGAAATCCCCCAAACAATTTTCTGTTGACTCTGTGACATACATGAGAAAAATAATTAACAACTGGTATCATCCCAGGATAATTCTATTTCTCCAAATAAAAGCATAATCAACTGCAGTTCAACATTGTTGTACTTAAAAAAAACAGATTATTTTGACATTCTTCTAACCATAACTCTTCATTTACGATTTGGCAGCATGACAGATACGTGGCCTAAGCGCCAGGCCTTTGTACTCTGTTGTGCCATTCAACAGCGACAGAAAACATCTTTTAACGATAAGACTTATTTCAAATGTGTTTTTGATTGTCGCATTTAAGTAACGAATTTTTATAGACTAAAACAAGTACTACCCTCACAAAGTCCTATCACTACGGCTCGAGTCGCAACCTTCAGACATTCAACAATTTAGGAGAAATAACTGTTTATCCTCTATAGTGGCTGGCCAGTACAGGGGAACACTGTATTCTTTCTGTCAACAGATTAATTTAGAATAGAGAGCAAGACGAAAACAGAGCTAAAAGCCTATTCTTTAATTTCTGAACGTACAACAGAAGCGCAGAAGTTAGATGATCTATTCAAACCACGACAGTTTGGTACATTCAGTCTGAATAGAAGGGTGCCAAAAAAATATTGTGTCCAGCCAGGTTTTATTTGCTATATTAAACATTTAGTAGGTTCCATTCACAATTCTGCTTAAAATGTCTCAAGCAACTCCCATGAGAAACTCACCTGTAAAACTGTGAGGGGCATTCATCCTGACTTAAGAGTTAAAAAATTAGATACTTACTAATACTAGGCTCTTCTTAAACTAAATGGAGAGAAACGGCTATTTTCAGAGGTGCAATTCATCTTAATCTATAATAGGCATTGCAGATGCATCAAATGAATTAGCCCTCTGGGGTTCTTCTCTATCAGCTATACAGGATCCTTCAGTGACTAGCTTAGACTTACACATCTAATTATTTTTTCTTTACATCTAAATGTAGATTAAATTAACCCACGCAATAGGAGCTAATAACCTCCCAGAGCCTTCCAGGCCTGAGGCAACAACAGAGAGGTGAAGTAGATGAGATTATAAACAGCAATCAATAGAAGTGATGCTGGGGCATTTATCAAGTTTTTCCTCCATGTGGATTCCCTGCTATCTAATAACATGTCAGGTAAAACTTCAGTCTTTCTTTTAACATGGGAACTTAAAGATTCTATCACCTCTGTCTCACTGACTATTTGGCAAAACTTTTAGGACCTTCATTATCTTTGAGACCTCTGCCCCTCTATCAAATTTAGCTGAAGTCAACTAAACCGGTTCAAAGATTGCTAGGACGCACACACACACACACAAAAAAAACCCCACCACACAGTCTTGTTTCTAATGATGCCCTAATACAACACATCCTGATTAACATACAGGTTTCAAAATTCTTTATAATTATATGTAAAAAGCGTTATCCCTGCTTTACAGATGAATTAACAGGGGCAGAGAGATGTGAAGTGACTTACCCAGTGCCACACAGCTGGTCAATGACACAGTTGGGAACAGAATCCAACCTGATTCCCAGCTTTAATCTCAAGCTCACTAGACCAAAAACTAAGTATCAGTCTGAGATTCTGCCCATAAAATACCTACAAATCAAGTGCTGTTCACTATGAAATGACAATCCTTTTCTGTGTCATAAACCAAAATGAAAATTGATGGGTATACAAAATATATTCCCCTTCTAGTGAAAGACAAGCCAAATATTTGTGTTAATCATATATATGTTTACATATATACACACACAAACAAACACACACATATGCATGCAGATACATCAGAGAGAAAGTGAGAGGGGCTAGCAGATAAAATTATTTAATAAGATTTTAAAATCTCTACAATTTATCAGTAAAATCATCATGCTAAATGGTATCAACTGTATTGTACACTTTTGGTATTGTAAGAGGTTTTCTTATATTGGTATTATTTCATAATAATATATTATAATGGCTAAGTAAATTGATGGAGGAAAGCATGATAAAATAACTTCAAGAGAAAAACAACATATGACAGAAAGTAAAATACTATTAAAGCCATGACCACAAAAATGTTATTTTTCAAGGTTTGTTAAAGATAATCATATATGATGATCTGCAAACTCAGCAGGTGCTTTGGAGTGTTATTCAATAATCATCTCAAAACCCACCTGTAATTTTTCATCTTGTTCACTGCAAAACTATTAATGGCATAGAGCTGTTACGTTTGCCTGGTAAATCCCTGCTGAATTGCAGAATTAGAGTATCTTTTTACTTTTGCAGGTATCCGTACCGGTGGATGTTGCAGAAACCAGTTTTCCACTAAAACAGTTTTTCCCACTGTCTTGGGCTTTTTAGTTTTAGCTCCCCTCCACACACTTCATCATGGGCCTGTTATTTCTTGACAAGTATTCCCAAAATCATATTTGAATAGCAGAACATACTAATCACCTTTCTGTGATAGCAGCTATTAGTGGGAGAATGGCTGAGGCTATTCAAGAACATCCTACTGGAATGCTAGTAGAGCAGAATTACTTACAGTCCCTTTGGGTTTATTTTGCCCCAGATACCTAGACACAAATAATTAATTTGCAAGGAGAAACACAAAAGTTGTTTTCTCTGATAGATCTCTCTTTATTATTACATATACATTTTTTAATACTATAGCATATAACACACTTTGGGTTACTAAACCCAATATGATGCAATAAAATGTTACGTTATCTGCAGTTTTAAAAGACTATATTATAATTAAAGATTGCATTAATTAACCAAAGTGCATTATTCATTTGTTTACAAAACAACAGGTCACACTACTCACTCAAGCTTCAGAGCAAAGGACCACAGCTTGAATTCACATATTTATCAATGACTATAATTACCCGTAAAGAAGATGATTTAGCCTTTTAAACTACCTGGCTTTTCAAATCTTAATTACTTTTTAATTATAAAAATCATTACTGTCTTAAGGGTCCTTAACTGGATTTCGGCAAGCTGTAATAATAGAAAACTTTTCTTACCTTATCAAGTTCTGGATCTTGAAAAGGAAATTTGCTTATAACTATTTTGTATTCCTCTTCATTTGCTACAGGAATAGGGCTGTAGTTGTCTGCTTCAAAAATATCCCTGGTCAAATAGTTAGTAAAGTGAAAAAAATTTAGGACCTGCATTAAAACTGAAAAATAAAGTAAATAAATTATATGTAAATTAATATAAATTTTACTATCAGATTTGGGTATGCAGCTTCAAAAAAGTGTTGAACAGTAACAATTATCATCTCAGAAATCCAGACTAGATGAATTTGAAAGTACCTTTTATATGCTAACTTTTTCTAATGAGTCTAACCCTGGAAAGAAAATAAATCATAATTGAAAACGTTTTTAACAGGGATGACTCAAAGCATAATACAGCAAAGGAACTTGAGACCAAGTAGTCTACTCCAGAGTTAACCATGAGGTACTTGTTAATTATGCTAGCCTACACTGTGCCTATGCTAAAGCAGATATTCAGACTGTCCAACTTAGGTACCAAAGCTACGTACAGTGAAGATGATTCAGAGTACCTCAAGTAGGCCGGCGCCCACAGCCTAATTTAAGTACCTTCTGGACGACTTTACTAGTCCACTGATGACATGAGGGGCCTAGACAGCTTAAGATCTTTAGATGCTAAACTTAAATGATAAATTTATTTTATTAACATAATACAACACAAAATACAATATATATAATATATATAATACAACGTAATTTCTTTTATGGTAAACAAAGCCAGCGCATTTAGAAATCATACCCTATCTGCAAAGGGGCTTTGGAGTACAGTCCCAGGCTGCTCCACTCCCAGGTTTACAATTTGCCCTGCCCCTCTGCCCGAGGCAGAGATGGAAGCCAACCTGCATTAAAAGCTCCCTCTGTCTAGCAAAAGAATAAGATGACTTACTGGCAATGTCAGTAGTTTGTTGGGGAGATATACACATCATCTACATTTAAATATGAAGACAACCCAAATTAGGAACCTAATGCCCTATTGTGATAGCCTAGGGTGATTAGGTTCCTAATGGAGAAAGACAGGCACTTCTCTTCTGGGTCTTTCTCCAACAACGTTCCAACGTTGGGAGAACCCCCTTCTCCCCATTAACTACAGAAGCAATCTTGGATAGCTCTTCTCCTAAATATTAGTTAGGTGTGATAAATACCTGGATCCTACTCAATCAGGCCTTCATACGGAACACCGAGTTAACTAATTCATCCAAAATTATTAATCTATCACAAAAATTTGAGATAGAACAAAAACAATAGATGCAATGAAAAAGGCATAATTATTTTGAAACACTAACCTGAACAATCCAGACCACTTCTTAAGCAATGTTTCATTGTACTGGTCTCTTATCTCAAATAAAAGATCAAATAGTCGATTGACAGGAAAACCATAACCCTGAGGTATAAAAATGGAAAGGAGGGGTAATTCAAGAATTAACACACTCATTTCTATCACATCAATTCAAGACACGAGCACAGATTTCTTATCCAGTCTTGTCACTTTTATAAAGCAAATTCTAGTACTTTAAACACACCACTACTTTTAAAAGATTATATATTAAATTTACTAAATACTTCATGCTGTGTTTCCAGTTTTTGAGCAGAAATTTATCCCACTTCTCTATAACATTTTAACTTGCTATTCATGCATAAATTCATCTGCTTTATCAGTATATCTGCTAAATATTGTACACATAACTTGCCAATAATTTTCGTTTGATCTTCCAACTAGAGATTTAATGACAAATGGAATATTACCCTTGCTAACGATCAGAAGTAAAGCATTTAGGAAAGAAAAAAAAACACAAACAAATTACAGAGCTAACATTAATTTTGCATAGGTACGGATGCTAACTGGATTGCAGGGAGTGCACACATTAAGTTGGTAATAATGAAAAGCAGGAACTAGAACAAGAAATACAGATACTTCTATTACTTAAAATATTGTCATGTAATTCTGCTCTTGATTCATACATATGACTTCAGGGAAATCCAAAATATTGCACATATATATCTAAAAGAAAAAAAATGATTGTAGGTACATCAGTTGAGCTGCTAATATAATACCAACCTGCAAAGTATCAGCAAACACTACAATGAGATTCTTCAGTTCCAAAACGAGGTCAGGATCACTGCAATATGACTGAAAGTGAGATATTCTGGTTTTGTTAAAATATTTTAAAATCCTGGATATATTTTTTCAAATAATATTGCCATAGAAGGGTAAACTCTCCAACCTTATCCCTTTACCTGACTGCCTTCATAAAAACAGCTTAGACTCAATTGTCTTCATTAAGTCCAGTTATACATAAGTACTTGTTCAATTTTTATAAGAACTATCCATACTATAAAAGTTCAGAAAAATTAAATGAAAATATGAGATGTAATAAACATAAATGTGTTTTACTGACATTCAAAATCAGCTAATTGCATTTACTTTAATGGCGCATATGCACACACAAAAAAGCTTTGCTAAATTAGATTCAGAAAGGGATTTCCACAGGACATGCTTTTGAACACTAAGGTTAAATCCAGCTAGCATTAACACTGTGCCACCTCAGACAGTTTCCCAAATGTAAGGGAAAACCCTATAAGAATACTTACTAAACATGTATAACACTCAAATTACAAATTCAGTTTGAGAAAAGTCAGACATTCAAGTTATTTAGTCCACTAAATGACTGACACCTAATTTTCAGAGGTGTAGAGTCATATAGATAAGGTTTTTGTCTTAGCTTCACTATTCTGAGTACTGGATAATGACTGTTTTGCATTTATTTAATTTTTGCTCTTGGCATAATTAAATAAAGTAAGGGTTTGGTTTACAAAACCTCAGAAGACAATATATGCCCGTTCAAAAACTAGTCTGTACTAGAATCACGTTTGGGGGAGATTAACTTGATAGAATTGGTTTTAATTGAGAGTAACGGATTTTGAGAAGAAAAAGTGATCAATTGTATCACAAGACATTAGAGATTACATAACTTTTATAACTTAAATTATCATATTTTTACATAGGTGTATAATTCAGTATTAATATACAGCCAACTAACCTGCAAAGCGTTTGGCTTAAAAAATGCTGAATACCTCTCAACTTAGTCCAACCCTCTGAAATAAATTAAGGACTATGAGAACAAAATGTTATGTACCATTGATCAATACATTACCTTGTGCTTAAACAATAATTGCAATCTGATTTTCTTCTATTTTTCCTAAGTATATATGAAACGTAAAAAATTCCTCAAATTAAAAATCAATTGTAATAAAAATAACATGAAGGAACTGCTATTAGCAAACATTAAAAAGTGCAAGATAAAACTCTTCCATTTTTAGCTCATATTAAAAGTTATGACAAACCAGACCTTACTGGTAAGCTCTGAAGTAGTTTACTACCAGTTGGTCTCAATGAACAATAGTGTTCAATTGGTTATCATAGAGGAATCAGAAATTGCATGCAGCTATTCAGCATCAGTTGAGCAAAGACTAGAAGTGCAACTTTAGGATACATACTTTGAATATACTGGAATGCTCAGCTAATACAGAATTACTTTACAAAATCTGTGAAGATTTTTGTAATACCTTTACTTCAACATCAACATGTTACATTGAAGAGGTAGCTCCAAGGGTTTTGCCAGTGGAGTTTATTTTGGAAACAGAGCATTTGGAATGATAATTAGGAACTATTTCCTGGTGGTGCTTTCAGTGCTGAACTATTCAGTCTGATCTAATGAAGAGGTCAGTTGAGACTAATGAGGAAGGATTGCAATAATAACAGCAGATTAACTCTGCATATTCTAAACTGCTGGACGAAGAGAAGAGAACGTTTGGAAGACCCAGTGAGTTGTAAATCAGTGGAGGATTATGCAAATAGCCCATGGCTGTGGATCACAGCCTGATACTGTTGGGAAAAACAAAAGTTTGGCAGGCTCCCTCCCAAATCTGAGCAACTTTTAATCACAAGGGGGGAGGAAAAAAAAAAAAGGAAAAATGAAACAGGTGGAATTTTTCAGTTTATTAATACGATCGTTTTAAACAAACATAGCTCTTAAGTAAATGGATTTAAACTGTATTATTGCTAAGTCCTCTCACTTACTGAATGGGTTCTAAGGACAGCAATGATCTTTGAAAGGGCCATGTTCCAGAGTTCATCGGTATATGTCCTAGTCACCAATCCTTGGGTTACATGTAAGATGTGGTCTTCTACTACAAAGAAACTAAGACAAAAATAACACTTAAGTTAAAAAGTTATTTCCAAACATTAGAGCAAATTCTGCCCTTTCACAGAGAGATATAAATTAAACCCTGCCCACGTGAGAAGTGACACTTTGATGTTCTGCTTTGTCCACCATGAAGTCATAATGTTAAAAGCTTGTTTTATGCCTAACTTGTAGCATATGGGAGCTTTTCACTGCCCAGATCCACCACCCACATGACTTGCACAGAAACTGAATCTTGCAGAAGAAAGTTTTGGGAAGACGGGTGAACAGCGGGCAGGTTAAGAATCAGTATAGTAAAACTGGAAAAAATCTCCATTTAGAAAACTTACCCTACAATTTGACTGAAGTATCTTCTATAGCCTTCTACTGTTTCATGCTTTCAGTGAAAAAGAAAACAAGTTTAGGAATAAAAATAGTACTAAATATTAGGTACAACCCAAGCCAATGCAAAAACAAAAGTGGTGGTTACCATGCTTGATTGCGGCTGCAGAACTAATCTTGCTTGTTTCCTTCTTTGCTTTCTGTAGTAATTTTCAAATATTTCTCCATCACCCTAAACCAAGACAGAAATAGTTAAAACAAGAACATTCTCTCAGTATGAAAAAGCACTTCTGAAATTAAGGGTAGAATTCTCTGTTTTAAACTACAGCCACATATTTTGCATTTGTTCCACACACAGACCTCCAGCTGAGATCATCGAAATTTTGCATGCATGAAACATGCAGAGAATAGCTTAAAAAAAAAAAAAAAGCAGCCTGCAGAATGTACTGAAAAGAAAAATTCTGCTCATGTGTGTTCACTTAGTCAAACAATATTTATGTTTTAAACACATTAAATGTAAACACATGTGTAAACACATGTATGTATGTTCTAAAACCATGGTCTTCATCCTGTAGGAATCTTTATTGCTCTGTAACTGAAATTCACCATTTCTTTAGGTTATTCAAGAAACTGAATGCATCGTAAGTTAGCTACAACAATGTTTTTGTGATCATGTTATATACCTCAACACTGAATGTATTTGCTTTGCTTGAGCAAAATACGTACGAGTTATACCTAATATTTACTTATTTCCCCTTGGAACTGGTAAATATAATGACTACAGATTTGGATTTTTCTCCTATTACAGTTCTCAAAATACAATACCCTCTGTGCATAATAATCGTGAGGAATTCAAATGACATCCTGGCCATCTCATTAAGATGACCATTCAGTGGAAACCATCTGTCCACTTGAAATCAGTGCTACATTGATTCATCTACGTACTGAATGCAGTGTAATTTGTATGCAACCAGAATAAAGTAGCTTAGCATTTTTAAGGTTTGTTTTTACTTCATGAGCCTATTATTAGAGCGGTGCTACTTAGAATTCCATTGCTTGGGTTTCCAAAAATCTTCAAATAAAAATATTACAGAGGCTGCACATTCCTAAGCCAGTATTACTTATCTAAGTCTTTCAGTATTTTAAGTTCATACTGAATATTTCACCATATTTAAAAAAACTGCTAATCCAAAAAAAAAAAAAAACCTCAAAAGTTTTTGAAACTCAGATATGCACATTTACTAAAACAGCTTATTACAACAAAACTTTACACAATGTAGTATAGTATCATGCATACAAACATATACTTGTCAGACATACCAACCAGTCACCTCCAGCCCAAATATTCAGTGCAGTTTTCAGACACACAAAGCCATTATTTATTTGGCTTCCCATACCACATCTCTACTTTGTCTCAATAGAAGTGTCCCAAGTGAAAAAGAGAAGCTGTTCTTCTCAAATGCACACCAAAAACTGAGACGTAAAATACCTCGTGACTATTTATACACCATGCTGCCCTATGCAGTCAAGATCAACAACTATTTTAAACAGATGTTCTAAAGCAATCAGCAGAAGAAAGCAATGACTGCAGCACTTAATTCACAAAATAGCCAAAGGGAAAGCAAGAAAAAAAAAAAAGTATCTCACATAATACATGAGGCACTATATCTCTGTGTATAGGCTAGCATATGAAAAAGATTTAAAAAAAAAAAAGAGTAATGAAGAGACTAAACTTTGCTAATACATACTAATGAGAGTGACAAGTATAAAACTGTGAAGTTACACTGGGGTCTCTCTCACATTTAAAACACAGAAACATACACCCATACTGCGCCAGACAAGTGGTGTCTCTCTTTTATTATGCTGTCCCAAACACATCACAGGAAGTTACAAGAAATTCATAAAATGAGCAAGTACAAAATGAGCTGCTCCAAAAGAAAAGCTAAATCTGAAAAGGAAACAGGCATACACCACAAACTGGAAGAATTTAACAGCTGTCAAATATTTTCGACAGTCTAATATAACGATAGATGTTGTTCTCTATATGATTCGCCATTTTAAGAAAATTCTCTTTTTCATAAAGCTCTTCATTTTTAGTGGTCAGAAGTTTCATAGACTAAAGAAAGGGTTCTTGTCCATAACTACGGTCTTTTTGGTGTGTAGGTAACTTGCAATCACAAGGCTGTAATCACAAACTTCCTTCATAGCGCTGAAGCTATGGAGTGCTCTGAGGTCTGCAAAAGCCTGCTTTCTTCTGCAATATGAAGAAGCAGAATAGAAAACCTATATTCTGTGTTAAAAGAGAGTATTTTCTACAGCTACAGGAGAGAGAGAATTCACTAATTGGGTGACATTTGCTTGTGAGATAAGGTCTTGAAACAAAAATGTAATGAATAAAAAACTTTCATAACCTCCCCACCTTTCGTGTCATCATAAAATTCTGTGACCTCCACAACATGAAGAGATGGTTTACAAAGGGAAGTAAAGGAGAAGGACTCAAGAAGTGGTTAATGCACAGCTCTCAATAATCCTATCAAGGGTTATTAATTAGATGATGTCCACAGGAAAGACAGAAGCCCTTTTCTGAAGGTACCAACAACCTTTTTTCTAAGACGCTAAGGCTCTCAGATAGCTGACAGCATTCCACATTGTTTTCTGTCCCCAGTAAATTCGGAAGCTGGCAAACTTTCTTTCTGTACAAACCCATACAACCCCTATACCATCAGGACTTCTGACAAAGTGAAGGAGATAATCATGCATTATTTTAAAATTTGTTATCTTTCCATTTTACTTCCTTTTCCTTTATTACACTAAAAGAAGAATAAGTAGAAGTTGTCAACTGGTCTATTTTACGTTACATATTCTTTTTTTTATATCATTCATGATATTTCATACTTATTTCCGCTGTTAAAAACGTGGCCCACTCTTTTATACTAGTTCTGGCACCTTATCTCTCTGTCCCTCCTGTCTTTTCATTGAGATGAATAATTATTGATGTAATAAAACCTTATAATAGTTCTGACACTGAACTATTTAAGTGGACCTGCCACATTTCTAGCTGCTTTTATTTGGATTCCTTCTTTTTAAAAAAAGTGATAGTGAAATAATACTTTAAACACTATTTCAAGATACAAACCTTCACAATACACAGCTGCAAACGTTCCATAGAAAGAAAATAACTCAGCCGGAATGCTAGAAGCCAAGTCCAGCTGAGTTTGCAGGATCAGCAATACTCATCAATATTTCATCTATACGCCTGTACTACTTATTCTATAGGAAACCTCACTTCAGAAGTTACTGAGACGTAGGAAAGGTGAAAAATAATAAATCATTTGTTACCAAGTTTCTCTTGGAAGGTTTTAGTCCTTGTTTGCCTGTGCATTGTCCTCTTCTGCAGCAACTCTCATCAGCTGTTGTTTCTCTGCCATTGAATCTGGTCTAACCTGTCTGAGCACAATCTGTGACAGTCTCAGTTTATGCTTGCTATTTTGTTCTACTTTTCTAATTTCCACATGATTCAGACTGGATACATCTCTTTTTTCTAATGCTGACCACTTTCTCCCAAGCATTTGGGTAATACAGAACACTTGCAAACATGGTATTATCATTACTGAGGCAGACATGCATTTATTACATATATTCTTAAGACCACTTATTTAATCAAGTCTTGCTGTGTGCTCCTTTATTATGCACCTAAAATAAAACATGCGGTAATGCCCTGAGTATCTATGCTCCATCCATTTCAGATAGTTCATCCAGGACTATAGAAGAAATAAGCTTGCTTGCTTGTGAACTCCTAAATTAAGAGTATGAAGGGTAAGAAAATGAACATTCAACTTCAAAAAATAAATGATCTTTTTAAAGTCAACTTAATACATACCAAAACTGAGTAGATGTGCAAGCACCTATAGACCGGAGAAAAGTCTACAAGATCTTGAGCAGTTAAAACCTGAAGGAGGAAAGAAAAAAAAAGGAGCATATATAGCACATAATCTGCAAAATGTGATATGTTATCAACAGAACTTGTTCATTCCATAGATGCTTTGTAAGGCATCTTACTGGTAAGGAATTGTCATTTCCTTTTAAATCCAGTTTTAGTGCCCTTAATTTTTAAAATGCTCAATTTGGTTTCTTAGAATTTGGAGAGTTAGTGAGGAATCAGTAGTTTAGTAGAGTGTGCTTTTAGTAGACTCATGAATCTAAAATTCAGACGAACATGGAAATTCTCTGGGGTTGAATACAAAAGCATGACCAAATTGAGCCAGCAAAAGTCAACTCTGCTGACAGATTTTATGGTCACTAAAACCATTGTTTTGATAGAAAGCGTTACAGATAACATGTTTTAATGAAAGACTCTAATAAAATCTTTTCGCCAGTAATTTCAGTCATGCTGTCACAGAAGAGTAAACTAAGTGCTTGCCTCCTCCCTCTCTTTCTATTACAGTATTAGATTTTCCTTTTGTTAACAAAATAGATTGTTTTCACAGTGTTTTCAGAGCATCAGATTTCAGGGTCTAAATACTTGATGATTTTTTCCAGGAAAATTTATGAATATTTGATAGCTGAAACAGTTCTAACACAAGCTAAAGTCCTCAGCAAAGTAATGATGGCTGCACCAGTAACAGAATATTCCAGTGGGCCACGTATCACCTGCAGTGGGCAGCAGGTTCATATAAGGTAAGTTGCAATGAAATTCCTGAATAATTACAAGTTCTAGTCAGTTGAATGCCTCCAAATACGATACTGAAGCTAGCATTAAAACAATTAATATTTTGGCATGCTTTCTTCTAAAATGCTGATCTAGCATGGTACCCCCTTGATGGTATTTCCTAGTCCCTCCTAACTGCAGTGATGCCATATCTACAGACAGTAACTGAAAGTTCTGTTCAATAAACCTACAAAATTCACTTTAAGGAAGCTGTACTGATTTAGTATAAAGTTACCTCTTCTTCATGTTCATCTTCTTCCTCAAATGTTCTCTTCAATGTCATTTCATTCTTGGATTCCCAAATTCTGCTTTTGCCTAGATGCATATTCCGACCATAGTTTACATTATTCTGTTTCTGAAGAGC